AGCATGAGAGGGGGAGGGTCAGAGGGAGAAGCAGACTCCCCGCCGAGCAGGGAGCCCGATGCGGGACTCGATCCAGGGACTCCAGGATCATGACCTGAGCTGAAGGCAGTCGCCCAACCGACTGAGCCACCCAGGCGCCCCAGGCTAGTGCTTTTCTAGAACGTTTTGACTTAGCTCTTTGGCAATACTGAACATGAGAACTTCTTAATGCTCATCGTCAAGGTCAAAATATATTTTTTTTAAATCAAGGCAAGATTTTAAAAACAATGCTGATGGTTATAATGCTGTATTTTATGCTTTTCCAAATAGTGTGATGTAATTTTGAAATTTCACTACAACATGATTATTTATCTCCTCAAAATGGTACAATGGAGTTAATAAAAAAAAAAAAAAAAGTAGGCAGTCTCAGTTACCTGAAATCCACAACCACTTATTAAATAACGCTAGGGCTTCACAAAACATATTGGTGTTTCCAGGCTTCCTTTTAGCCTTTGTTCACATACTTAACTACTTGACCTATCATCAGCACATCCACACAATTTTTAGCCTGCCCCTACTTTTTTGCTTACCATTTCATCATGAACTGTTACACGTGCTGATATAGTTGTATTTCACTTCAAAGAAGCATAAATATGCCAAATGAATGAACGTACTGTAATTTACATAAACATTCCCCGACTAGTGTTCACTAAGGTTGTTTCCAATTTTTTACTTTAAAAAAAATTCTGCAATTAAAATTCTCACACATACTCTCCCCCCGCCCCCCTTTTTGGACTACTTCCTGAGACGAAATAACCAGGACTAAGATCGTGAGGTAAGAGATTATGAACCTTTTGACGACCCTGGACACTTAGAGCCCAAGTTCTTTCCAGAAACGCCACGCACACATGTACCAGCTGCCGCAGAAAGAAGCCAGCCCTGAGTTGTTGTTTTTTAATTTTCTAATTCCATAAAAATTACAAGTTCCAACTGCCTCACTTAGAGGCTCACAGTCTGGTTAGGAAGCTGAAGGCTAATTCCTATGAAGCCCCCAATCCAGGACAATGTAATCAAGTGCTAACTGGTCTGGCGGAACAACAGTGATTTGAGAACTGTGAAGTCCAGAGCCAGCGCTTCACAGACTAGCTGTGTGACCCTGGCCAAGTCACTTAATCCTCCTGTGTCTCCACTTCCTCATCTGTGAGATACAGACAATAACATTCACAAGGGCGACATGAGGGCCAAATGAGTTCAACGGGGGAAGTGTTCGGGAACCGGGTTGGGCATAGTGCGCCCACGCGGTCTAGCTGTGAGGCCGACTCTCCCGCCGGCCGCTCGCCGCTCGCCCCGCTCCTACATCATAACCTCAGAACCTACAGGGAGCTTCCTCACTGCATCCGATCCGAACTTTGCTGACTGGCTTTCATGACCCGCTTTACTCCTCGTTTTCTGGAACCTGCAGACTCTGCTCTACGCTGCCCAGCTTGCCGCAGAGCCTAGCGTCAAGACCTGCCCAAAGCTGCACATCTTGGTACCATTACATGACCATTCACTTGCACAATTGTGCAACTACAATGAACAATGCGTCCAGACCCAAGCAACTGCCTTCTAGAAATCTGTTTATGTAAGTTAGAGCCAAGAATGTCACAGGTCCTTTGTCAGATGGATGTGCCTCCTGATATTAAACACATCCAGCTGTCCCCCATCTCGGTGGGCTGCATCTCCTCTTTACACGTATCTAACTCCATCTCCCCCTTCAGACAGTTCAGATTTACTTATTCTTCTGGGCTAGCTCCAACTTCCCCGGCCAGAACATTTCTCTCCATTCTATGGACTAATACTGTCTTCACGATGAGTATCATTTAATTGTCCTCTGCTTGTTTTATGTACGTTATAATTTTGTCTCTGACTAGAATGAGTTCCTTAAATACAGGGTTCAAAGAACAAAACAGCTAACGAGCCTTTACTACTACATGCAAGGCACTATTCTGAATACCTTACTGAGTGCTACGGACTGAACTATGTCCCCCAAAATCCATATGCTGGAGCCCTAACCCCAAAGTGACTGTATTTTGGGTCAGGGCTTTTTTATAGGACATAATAACTAAGGTGAAATGAGGGCACAGGGTAGGGTCCTAATCAGACAACCTTGGTGGTCTTCTAAGAAGGTACGAGAGGTCTGTCCCTCCATGCGTATGCGCTGAGCAAGAGCCGTGGGAAGAAGCCCCAGAGAGAAGGCCACAGTCTGCAAGCCAGGAGGAAAGTCCTCCCCAGAAAATGACCATGCTAGCACCTTCATCTGAGACTTCCAGCCACCGGAACCGTGAGAAGTAAATGTCTACTATCGAAGCCACCCAGTCTGTGGTGTTTTGTCACGGCAGCCTGAGCAGACTAAGACATGGGGTTTATTTCATGTAATCATCCCATAACCCTATGAGCTCTCCTACTATGCCCATGATGTGAAGAAATTAAGGTGCAGAGATGCCCGTGGTCACACACAGCCGGTCTGTGAGGGAACGGGGCTCGGGACCCAGGTGGTCTGGCTGCAGAGCGCATGTCGTTCACCCCTGTGCTGTTCCACATGGGGCTGGGCACACAGCAGGGCTTCAGTGGCCCCGCGACTTCAGTCAGAGACGGAGAAGCAAATGCAATCCCGGGACTTGTCTGACATGCACAGAAGGAACAGCCCACCTGTGGCACAGCCAGATTTATTCTTCCCTCCTTTACACCCACCTACTGATCACAGCACTCTTCATTCTATTCCAGATGTGGCCTCAGAACTGTTCTCAACCTAAGACTCTAAGCAGCTAGTACAGATTGCCTAGAGTTGGCCTGGAGTCATTCATTCCCTCTTTGCTGAGCGCCTACTGTATGCCAGGCATTGTCACTAGGCCTCAAGAACTCAATTCTTCACAGTCAAGAGATGAGGTCCTTGCTCTGATGTCAAGAGGGAGGTAAAAGACGAGTAAACGTATAAATAAATAAGCCAACTGCAGAAAGAGCAGCGATCTTTGAAAAAAAGCAAGGGCTGATGCTGAACACAAGAGGAGGGTCCTACTTTGCATGGTGTGCTCAAGGAAAGCTTATCTGAAAAGGCAAATTGAGAAGAGCAGGTCAAGGCAGCCCTGTTTGGATGGGAAAACATGAAATAACTCTTACTAGGGCTCTCTCCATTTGGCCTATATGTAACTTTTTTTTTAAGGCTCACAGTCTAACCAGACGGAAAAGAGACAATGAAATAAAGTCTTAATACAAAGTTTCACTGATGTGGACTGAGTGAGTAAAAATCCATTAATATGGAGATCCCAACTTCTGGAACACACGTGTCTAGGAAAGAGGCAAGCGAAAAAACACACTGGCTTAAGGACTTAGAGATAACCACAATTTAGCAAAATCCAAAATAAGAGAATGTAAAAATTATCTTGCAAAAAGAAGGTACATTTTCACATGTCCTGGATGTATCAGTACGCCACTTTCCTACTTGCAATGGGTTTTTCATTTTGTGCTTTCTTTCGGTTTTATTTTTAAAGTGACTTTCAAAGAACCCGTATGATTATATTAACATGTATTACAGAAATCTGCTTTAAGAGGAGGCATATAATGTTTCGGTAAGTCCAGAAGGTAACACGTGACTCTAGGGCAGTGACATTCAAACATTTTCTGAGCACAGCAAGCCTTCTTCCAGTCTTTGGCCTGCGTCCACCCCACGGAACACAGAGCAGTTGCCGTGCCTGCAGGAGGCCCAGGCAGCCTGAGCCAGCCACAGCGCCGGCCGAGAGGAAAACCGTCCACTCTCCTTCCAAGGTTGACTCCTTCTCCTACTTCGTGGAGTCTCTTCAGCAGGCCTTTTCTGAACTGAAAAATACCATTTGCTAAAAGGTTTTGAAATCAATCAACCCACTGTGTTCTGTTTCTGCTGACCAAAAAAAAACAACCCCCCCACCACAGAAGACCCTGAACTAAAATAGATAATGTGCAATCTGATTTTCAAACATAAACTTCTTTCTCTGAACAGTTTCACGTTCATGAACTAGTGGGCAGGGCACTCCTCAGGGAAATGGCAGAGATCTGGATGACAGAGGGAGAAAAAATGAAGCAGCAAGAGTCGGAATACTGCCCCTCGGAAAAAGGAAGAAGCAAACAGCTATTTCAATACATAATTTTTCTAAACCTCCCCACTAATATCCTGACTACTGCTTTCAAATGGCGATAAACATAAACAACAACTTACTGCTTCTCCAAGTTTATCCAAGTTATCCAGGAAATATTTTACAGATTCACCCTAAAATAAGAAGAAAATAAATAGTTATTAGGACTTAGAAATTAAGATTGTTACAACAGTTTACATTAAACTGTCTGGTTGTACACTTAATCTAAACACAGTTCGCTTAGTCACAAATTTCAGACCGGACAACCGACCCCACTAAGAACGTACACAGTGTCTGCTGCTGCCCCTTGCTACAGGCTGGGTAATTCCACCAGTGCCTTCCAGAGGCAGTGCCCCAGTGACCATCTGTGTGGACAGGATTACATGGACGCTTAGTGACAAAACGATCTAGGTATCCAAAGGGAAGATGTAATTAAAAGGTGAAAATTGCTTTTGAGATAAACATACAATTTAAGGGGGCTTCTTTTTGTCTACATTTCTCTACCTTAAGTGTATACCAATGGTGGTTATCATTAGTGACAAGAGCAAACCAGAGATGAGGTGAGGACACTGTAAAATCAGTAAGTAACAGGCACTTGCCTGGACAGACACGCCTTGCTCCAGAAGATTCTGGATAACGCAAGCTTCATGTCTCCCTTAGGTCTTTTCCTGAGTGACCAGCCTACTCTCTCTGAGCCCAGATTTCTATTAAACCTCCAGTCAGTTTCGAATATCTAGAATATACTCCTAAGAGGAAATACTTAAACAGAGGACGGACAGAGAAGAGGGGAGCCATTTGGGCAACAAGGGCTCTGTCTTTCTCCCAGGATGCTGTCCCTGTGTTTTCTGTTCCTGCTGGATTTCTATTACCATAGCACAGTGCCCACCGCCCCCCGCCCCACCCGTGGCTGCTTCCATAATTTCCTGGAGGCAGTGCTTCTTTAATGTGTAGGAGAAATCACCTGAAGATCTTGGTTGACTACAGGTTCTGATCTGAGGCTGGGGGGCTGGGGGGCGGGGGCGCAACCGACCAGTACTTTCTGCAGTTCAGGTGACTTCCGGGACCACACTGGGTCACAGACCTTACAGAAGTTTCTCAATTTATTTTGGTCTCAGAATCCCTTCACACATCTTAAGATTCTTGAGGATCCCAAACAGACCTTGTTTATGTGGGTTATAGCTATTAATATTTACCATGTTAGAAAGTAAAACTAAGAAATTTAAAAAATATTTTATTTAAAAATTCATTTAAAAATATCAGTAATAAACCCATTACATGTTAACACATTTTAGTATAGCTCGATAAAAGACAATGAGATACTCGTTTGCTTCTGCATTTGAATTGCTACTATACGCTGTCCTGGCTGAGTATATACAGAAAATCTGGCCTTTCACAAAAATGTAGTTGCAAAGGGAGCATTTTAATAAAATATTTTCAGACAACTATAGATATTTTTGCTACTATACCAAAACTTGACAAGTGGTAGTTTTAAAAAAGTTAGCTCGCCGGTTTACCCTGTACTTAGAATGGATCTTTTACCCGACCACTGTTTTGTAACACCAGGCCCCGGTCATAGGAACATGGTGGGTGACTGAGTAATGCAGAGCTTCCAAGTGCTGGCACGTTTCATTACACCATAGTAAGAAAATCGTAGTCATGAGTGTCTCTTTCACCTCTCACGGAAGTCTTAAGTATTGGGAAGCTGACAAGCTCACAGTGGTGGGCCAAAACAAGTTTTCCTAAAATTTTGATTTTCACTTCGAAGCTCAAGCTTTACCAATGGCAACAAATACTCTCCCGTATTTTCCTTGAAGTGATAGGCTAACTTCACTTTTTTTCGTAAAAAATGTCTGTCCAATGCCCAAGTCTGAGTAAGTTGGTTGGTTTCTCGAGTAAAAACGGTGTTCCATGATTCAGCTCACAATCCGACCAGTTGCAAAAGTGCTTTTCATCCTGAGTCCGTACGCTGCAGGGGTGTTTCCATGTGCCTCCCAGCCCATCACACAGAACAGGAAAGCCACGTGGACTCAAGGGTCGGGATTTAAAACAATTTTTAATGCTTAATTAGGGATAATCTTAAGTGACAGTGGGGGCAGTATGAGAAATGACAACCACAAGTGCACGACAGTGAGGACACAACAACCTTGCAGGGGGGGGGGGCAATGCCTGGACCTGTGCTAAGGTGGAGGCGGGGCAATGCCTGGACCCGTGCTAAAGTGGGGGAGGGCAATGCCTGGACCCGTGCTAAGGTGGGGGGGGGGCAATGCCTGGCCCCGTGCTAAGGTGCTGGCTGTTCACAGCCACTGCTGTTCTCTCTGTGCCCTCGGGGCCACTGTGAACACAGGGAAGACGCGAAGAACAGCTTAGTACCATTATGAAGAGTGCTGACCTGAAGACTCCCTTTATAGGGTGTCTGGGAGCCCCCGAGATCTGTGGGACACACTTTGAGCACGGCTGCCTTCAGGTGTCTTCATGGAGAAGTACACAGGTGTACTGAGGTGCCTGAGGGGAGTGCCTGGCTGATTTCCTCATGATTGTAAGCAGTGATAGATGGTTCTGCTTTTTTCTGGACGTTATAGAGTATTTACAGCACCTAAAGATGATTTTTACAAGATGGGAAAAAACCTTCAAGGAATTCATTTTGGATTAATGAAGAGATTATCTGGGCAAACTTGTATGGATATTTTTTGCATTACAGCATGAATTTTGCTGAAAAAATTAATGTTTTTGTGTTTTGACCGAGATCTACAGGCCAAAGGGAATCTGGGCTTAATCGATAAATCCCAATTATTTACTTATAGAACTGTTTGTACAACCCAAAAGTATTTAAAAAGTAAAATTTGAACAAATAATGATTCCGTTATACTGAAGTAGAGTCTCTTGGACAAATATGATAAGAGATAGTCACTCTGTTTATGTATGAGTCTGACTCACAAAACTGTTTTCCTTTCAGTAACGTGTATATTAAATACTTAACGTAACGTCAGATACCTTAAATGAAATTTAGCAAATTTCTAAAAAAGGTGTTTTTTGACTGGTAGTGTTGTATATTGCATTTATTGGCTTTTTCCTTGATTTTTAGATTTAATATAAATTCACTGTGGAAACTGACAACTAGTAAAAGGAACAAAGGAGGAAAGAGGCAATAGCCATCACCTCCACCACTCAGGGAGGATCACAGTTAACATTTGAGGACATCTTCCTCCAATCCCTTTTTGTATATTTAACACTGTTGAAATAATACAGACAAGTCTGTGTCCTGATTTTTCCACTTAAATAACTGTTAAGTAAATTTAATGGTCAAAATAATTCCTAGTATTTATTATGTAATAAGTTAAATAAAACTGCTGATCTAATGTTGAATATTTGAATTTTTTAGTAAACATTTTTAATATTTTAAAAATAAAGTTGTGATAAACAGCTTTGAGTACAGCTGTATGTGCTCTTAAATTATGCCCTGAGTGATCTCAGAAGAATTAGTAAGGCAAAGAGGTTAAACATTTTTAAGATGTTTACTACTTACTGCCACAAAGGTTCTACTGACTCTCTCCTACCCAACAGTGTGAAATGATGATGAAAATAATTGAAGCCGAGAGCAGAGATGTGTTTTGTAGATGTGTCTGTAATAAACTGAGGTGCAAACTCTGATTGGCTCCACATTGTGATCCCCGATGCTTCTCATTTCAGACACCCCAGAGCAAGGGGGCTCTGTGCAGCACAGAAAATGACAGGTTCCATATCCAAATTGACAATAAAAGTTCAACTACACAAAAACCTATTTCAATTAGTACTGCTGTTTATCTTAATTCATGGCCAAATAAATGAAAGTTAAAATCACCTTAACATGAGCACACTGTCTAAAGCAGCAAGCTCCCCCTTTCCACTTTCAAAAAGTACATGTTTATAACCAACCCATTGTTTCTGAGGGTACAGAGAGGCTGGTATACTCATTCTAGTGACCTTGTAAGTTCAAACTTTTTAGAAAGTTATGAGTAGTGTGGGTGAAAACTTTTAATGAACTTTTACCCATTTTAAGGAATTTATTCAACATAAACAAAACGTTACGAAAAAAAAGATATTTTACTCAGCACTACCTATGATTGCAAGATTTGGAAGTCCATTTTTCCATTTATCATTAGGGGAATGATTTAATAAATTTTGGTATACTAATATAACAACATTATATGTCATCGAATAATTATTTTGATATAACTGCCACATATGAAATATTTACACCATTAGATGCTAAATTAAAGTAGTAGATCACAAAGTGAAGGTTACAAAGAAATTACAACCCCTTATCTACAAGTTTTTTGGTAAGCTTGGCTCCAACACTTAACTGGGAGCAAAACTTGACCTGAATTGACGTTAGGTTCTTTACAGTCTTTATTTCTCCCACTTAGTAAAACTATTCAAACGTTGTGCTGCAAAACAATGGATTTTACATAATAAACAGTACATGCACTGTATTATCTTTCTGAAATCCAAAAAATTCGTAATTCCATCAACAAATCTGGACTCAAGGATTTGTAAGAATGGGTCTGTATTATGTATGCTTTAACTATTCTATTTAAATATGGAAAAGGTAACTTTGTAGCTCAAGGAGCGATTAAATTCTCTTTTCAAAAAAAGAAAGAAGGAAAAGAAAATTGTTCCTATTTGTTCTTCTCTTGGTACTATAAATATTAAAAAAGCAGAAGTTCTTTTCCCTGATGTGTCCTGATTTAAGTGCATTCCCTAAGAGTGGATCTGAGATCTTTTAGGTTCAAATTACTACATGCCTCTCTGTTTACTGGGAATTCATAATCTCACCCAAATCAAATAATAATAATTAGAGAAATATGCATGTGCTCCGTTGTTAAATTTCAACTTCTACTGAAGGAAGTTTCATCAGTGTAACTTACAGAGTCCTTTGTGCACTTGAGACTGTACAAAATATTTATAATTCACTTTCACACATTTGAACATGTGGGTTATCTCTAGTATTTAAAGTCCCTACCACCAACTGATTATAACGTGACTACGCTTTGCCTTCTCCACTACCACTCAGTGATTATCTATTCAAGGAGTGTAAATAACATATTATTCCTATGAAAAATACATTATGGTGAAAATAACTCCCCAAACATAAAAAAACGATGTTAATTCACCATTTTAGACCATAGGTGATACTACTGATCCTTCCGTTACGTAGAAAACCGAGAGTGGGACACAAGAATGGCTTTAGTACCTTTTAATGTGCATGGCTGTAAACTAAAGCCTCCTTCTGTTGAGAGGTCAGGCCCCCCCAGATTAAGCTACTGTGAAACAAGCAATTTTAAACCCATGCACAGACATGAGCACGTGCGCACCTGTGCGCGCGCGGACACACACGAGCACGTGCAAACACGTGTGTGCTATAAAAAGATGAATACTATCATAGGAGAAATTTCCCACAGTAGCATTAGAGGGTGTTACTGGGAAACAAAAAAATAAAAGAGAGAGAGAGAGAGAAAACCTGTCTTTTTACAATCTCAAAAAAATCCCAAATTAAAAAATATAAAACGTGTGTTGTTTGCAATCTAATCATGAAGCACATGGAAAATGAATACTGGAGTCTCTGTTCTCAGTAAGCCCAAGAGCTTCTGAAGGTCACCTTCTGTTCGTGCTTTATTGGTTCTAGGCAAATTTTATACCTAGTTCAGCACCCAGCACCTGGTGGCCTCCTCTCTCTCCTCCCCAAAAGTGGTGAATGAAGTATGAATTACCAGGGGGAAATTTCCCTCAAATATTTTTTCCTAACAGTTTCAGAAATGATCAAAAAGTCTTCTAGTTGTCTACTATTAACGTTAAGGAAAATATGTGAATTTCAGTCCTTTTCTAACACTAATCTGGCAAGTTTCTAAACTTCTCCAGGCCTCAGTTTAACCGTCAATAAAATGAGGAAGTTTCGTGGTTTCATGGATAATTACTGAAGTTCTGCTCTACGCAACAATTTCAGTTTGTACAATTGATTTAAATTTAAGTTCTCCTT